AATCTCGATAATTTCGCTCTCGACGAGTGCAAAACACACACTTTACGGCTCACTAGCTCGAACCTAACAGAATCATAAATTACACGGAACTCAAAGCAACTACTGCTCTCTCTTCATTCACCAATCCCCCTGGCTTTCACTGCCAGGCTTATATACTAACGAAGAGGGCATCTCGATCACACTCGGACTTCCCCGATCATTCGAGAAACTCATCATCCACGCGCCAGCAGCGTCACGTGACTTCCGCTGTCGTAACACATGGAAATCATGGACTATGGAGTTAAGTTGTTTACTGTGGATACATTTACAGCTGTTTTAAAGGAAACCTTGCTGCAGTTTATTTGATAGAAAATAATTATCCAATATATATATAAACATACTTATAGCAACCAGTTGTAAACTTTATGCACGTCAAACCCGTGTTCTAATTTCTCTTACTTAAATCATAATATCTTTTATATTACTATTAATATAGTATAGGATGAATTTCTTAATTAAATTGCTATAACTGATTTACATAACGCATATTATATTTTTGTGTTTCGCCATTAACGTGACCAACAACATTTGCGGCTTCTTGCTCTTACGCTGTGATTGGTAAAACTTCCCTTACATTTATAGAATATTGTTGATTGCTGTGATCTGGTCATCGTGCATATACCCCTCTACAACGTACTGAAGTCCCCTTTCTTAACTTCGAGACGAGATTTTGTCAATTTTCCAAAAGCATCTAACATTATGTTTTAATTCGCAATGTCGAACATATGAACTCGTACGAGCCAGCTGCCATTTCTCTCATGGTAGCTTGACCGACATAGTAACAGTAACTAAGGCTTGAAGAAGAGGGCGGAAGAAGTAGCGTTGGTTTCGCTAAGTATTTGTCCAACTTATAGATTGATTTAAGTTATTCTATAATTCTAACTTTAACATCCTTAATAGAGCTAAAAATACCGAAGACTTACTAATTATGTCTCTGTGAATATCACTAATATTTAATGCTGTTGAATGATCGGATAAAATTCATACAACAGAAAAAATATAAACATTTATATTACTATAAAATTTATTTTTAAATGACCCCTTTCCAAAATGAAACTTATTCCTGGGGCTTGGCAGTCATGTGTTTGAATCATGGACGATGGGGTTAAATTGTTCACCGTGGATGCATTTACAGCGGTTCCCTTTAAAGGAAACCCTGCTGCTGTTTGTTTGATCGAAAATAATGATGTAATATATATATATATATATATAAATATATATATACATACTTCTAGCAGCCAATTACAGACTTTAACTATAAACTTTCTGACACGTTAAACTTCTATTCTAGTTTCTCTTACTTAAGTAACTTGTGCTTTACAATTATATTAATTATTATTAGTAGCAGTATTAGTCACTATTACTTAGTCATAGCACTTATTTTTTATAGTACTAGCAGCATGATTACTGATATAGTGTTAATGTTACACTTAGCCTAAAATGTAAAAATTGTTTCTGCTTTAGCCATGTACAGATGCTTCAACGCTCATTCTAGTGGATGTATTTGTACTGTAGTACTCTCTATTTACTATAATTATAGCATGTTATTTTTAATATTTGAAGAATAGATAACGGTGCTCTTGATTGGTTGTAATACTTGTAATTAACCCCTGGTGGGACAGTGGTAAGTTTATGGACTGAAAATGCTAATCTGTGTAAGTAGAAGAAGCAAAATCACTGTTGATCTAAAAAGAAAGTTATACAAGATCTTAGATTATATATGTGACTGTTGATTATGTTATAAGGTTATCTATACACGCCACTACATGTATAGTTAAAATATTTCAATATTACATAAGATGCCTATTTGCAATGAAAGATATTTTGCAAATATAAATGCACATACAAACTTCACATGCATATTTTAAACAATTGTTAAATTGATATCACAAATTTTATGGTGTGTGTTTGTAGAATTAATTCAATTCTAAAAAAAAACAAAAAACATTATTCTTTTTTAAAATACATTGAAATTCTTCTCAAAATTTTAGCACAAAACATGATTGTTGATGTCATTTTACAAGGGGTAAAAATCTCTTAACTGTTAAATTCTATTGGCTGATTTTAACAAAATTTTTAGAGCAACATTACCAACAACCAAAGCATACTTGATGAACATGATAAATTAACTTTGACATAATATGTATTGCCAATACCATTTAGCTACTTTGGTATCTCATAATAGGCTACTTTCAAATGTTAATAATCTAAAACAGGTGGCTTTGCTTCCATACAATAGAAACAGGGAGTGTTGATTGAAGTTTTTCAGTATTCTAACAACAAATGATCCTAACCTCATATTTCCTCTCCCAATTTAATTGAAACCTAAGAGTGATCCGAGGGACTTCAGAAAGAAAAATCTTATGCCTGATCAAGAGAAAAATCAATTCATGGAAATTTTACTCCAGAAAATAAGTTTCATATTATGCAAATAATTGCACAGTTTTATGGAACATGATCATTTATTCATTACCTTGACATTTTATTTAACATTCCAAATATCTATTTAATGTTGTTTTTATTAAATATGTTCTGTTTTTTCTTTTTCAGAAAGGTATTTAAGACTGTTGGGTGTTAAACACTTAGATTATGAAGGATATTATTTTCATCTGATTTTTTGCATAAACTAAAAATGGAGCAAGAAATCAGAATTGTGACTGGAATTTTATCATTTTTATTTATTGTGAAATAAAATATCTGTGTGGATACAAACAAATTTCATGTTTTTGTAGTTAGTTCCAGATGATATGAAACAAAAGATTGCCACAGAAATGAACTTGTCAGAAACTGCTTTTGTTTTAAAACTGATGCCAGATGATGAATTTAAAACAGGTAGTTTGACAGAACCTATCAGCTTCTTATACTTTACCTTATAAAGATCAGGATGTGAAATAAAGATCCAGAAGTTATATGGAATGAAAGTGATATTTTATTATCTTTTAACAATAATTATTTAAAAGATGTTGAAATGCAATTCGAGATATAATCATGTTTTTCATAAATATATGCTGAAAATAATTTCACTTTTGATAATTTATATTCATATCTTTATTTTAGCATCAAAATTTCTTTTGCAATGGTTCACTCCAACAAATGAGGTCCCTTTGTGTGGACATGCAACATTAGCATCAGCTGCTGTACTCTTTAACTGTTATGGTAAGCATCTTTATTTTTTATTCTATTTCAAATTGATATATTTATTGCTGTTATATAAATCTTCACATTTAATCTTCTATGATAACAGATTTGTTTCTTGTAATTCTTTAAGTCATAGTAGATGATACTCCACTATAACAATGCTAGGAGAGTGTAAATTAGCCTTAAACAGATTGGCAGTCATAGTCTGTGTCATTTTACCATACTTTTTCTTAAGTTAAGAGGTTTTAATTGTTATTTTTGTGTATGTGTATGTATGTGAATATATAATATGTGTGTAAAGATACAGTTACTATAGCTGTACACATTATTCTAAACATTTGTAAAATGTAAAACATAAAATAATAGAAGCTGCAAAACACTGTTACAGTTACTGTAGTATAATAATTTTACTATAGATGAGTTTGATCTAATGACACTAAAAAACTTAATATTTGATAAATCAGGTTTTGTTGAAGCTTGTTTTATGAGTTGTTACATCTATTTGCGTTTTTTTTTATTTTTGCTAAGTATTGGCTTTGCAGTTACCAAATGAATTACATTAGGTAGCTTTACCTTTAAAAAGGTTGGTGACCAAAACAAAGAGTAATTATGATTTGAATGTGCTTTGATGAAATTGTACAATTGACTAGTTTGATTTTAAAATTTGCATATGTATAATATAAGAACAAAGATAATTAGATTTTGGTTTCATTTTTTTCTAAGCTCATACTCATTTACTCTTGTGAGTGTACAATGTCTGATGACTACAAGTATCAACTGACTTTACACAGTGTCTGATTAAAAAAAAAAAAGGAAATTCATAAACCCAAGTGCTTTTTTGAAGATGGATCCACCTTTTATGAATGCTTGCAATGATTAGAATTTGTTTTGTATTTTTGAATGCTTTTTGAAAGTATAAGAACTTCACATGGTGTCTATGACTATCAGATGGCTGCATGGTTTTACAATTAGAGGGATAGAAAACAAATAATTTTTCTTGTTTCAGTAGCATCTGGTGCCATGTGTTTGTAACTGTTTTCCTAATTATTTATTTCAAAACTTTAATGTAGATTAAGCTATAATTATGGATGTATTAATTTTTTTAGGAAATAAATCAGAAGTTTTAGCTTTTGAGACTCTCAGTGGAACACTTTATGCTTCTAGACAAGAACAGAAAGTGTTCATAGACCTTCCTCTGAATTCTCCAGAACCAATGGTTAGTTCTAGAGTATTTGTTTTACAACTACAAATATTATATATAGTGTTTACCCAAAATAATTTGCTTTTATCATTATTCACTTGTTTATCAAATATTTATTGTACATATTGCTTGTATCTTCTCCAACATTGACCATACATGGGAATATTTATCTACTCTTAACTTGACTTTATATAGAAGTTTCCCTGAAGAAAATTTTCCTGTAAAAAGAACACCTTTAGGAACTCTATCTAAGTGCCAAAATTTCAGTGCATTTGAATAAGATTATTTGCATTGCAAAACTCAATTTTCATATATTTTTATAATGCATGTGGGAGTAGATGATGTTTGAATTGGTAAATCAGAATAGTGTCTTAAAAAGTATAAAGAACTCCTTTAGAGGTTTAGGGGTGAAAACAAACATGTAGTCTTTTTGGAAATGCTCACTCAGGCTAGATGTGGGAATGAATTAGTTAATAGAATATCAAAGGATTAAATGAAAGATTATCAGGATGTGCTTAAAGCAACAGGTAAGCTGATTGTTCATGTGGGATAAGATTCAAGGTATTTGTGAATTACATGTTAGAAATAGATTTCACTTTAAATGGCTAGGAAGTAGGATGTTTGAGGAAGCTATCAAAATATTTATTGAAGACAATGTAAACTAAACTTGCATAGTGGTTTGATAACTTGTGGATAAACAAATTGATAAGATAGCTATAGCAATGTGAAGATTGGACAAAGAAGATTTAGAACCTAAATATTTTAAAGCTAAGTCTGCCATGTTTGAAGATAAATATACTAGATTTAAAAATAAGCTTAGTTGTTGTTATTCAAATGTTAGGACTATTAGGAACAAGTAAAATGAGTTCAGTGCTGTAACTGAAATGTAAAAATATGATATATTGGGAAATACTGATACTTTGTTAGATTAGGAGGAAATTGGTAATAATAATAATTATTTTTAACTTACAGGTTACAAGACAATGACAGTAGACTTTAAAAGTGGGAGTAAAGTTACTCTCTATAAATAAGGGATGAACTACAGCCTGTTATAACTGAATGAATAAGAAACAGTAGTTGAGACATTGAATATATACAGGTTAAAGTCAAGGATTTCAAAGGTGGAAAGATTTAATTGGCAATTATTATAGGCCTTCTCATCAATAAGAAATTTTATAAGAAGATCAAGGCTATTATAAATAAGAATAATGATGGAATAATTATGGGAGACTAATTTTATATACATTGATTGGGACTTTATGGAGTCAAATGTTGAGGAATTTCTTGGAATGATTCAGTTTAGTTTTACTATACTAAATAGTCACAGAGTCAACCAAGGGGAATGCCATTTTAGATTTACTGTTTACAACTAATGAGGATATTGTTGTAAAACAAATAATTGGTAAAGGTTGGGAAAAAGACTAGTTAATTGGAACCTAGGGTGTTTGAATGAGAGAATTCAAAAAGTTGTTATTAATGGGAGTCCAGGTGAACTGGATCATTGGTACTAGACAAGTGTTTCAAAAGTTAATGCTTAGACCTTTGCTTTTTTTTACTTTAATTATAGGGATGTAATAATAAAGTCTGCTCATTACATTAAACTTTTGGGTTTTTCAACATTATTTTGATGAAATTTAGGTATTACATGATGATTTCGATCAATTGTTAAGTTGAATAGATATTTGTCAAACACGTTTTAATTTTATTCAGTTGAAGATAATGTGTTTAAATTATAGGAATTTGGGTCATACATTTAATATTGATAGGAAAATTTACTCAGTAATGTTACTGAATAAAATGATATTGACATAGTGGTGGATAAGTCACTCAAGGTATCTTGTCGTAAAGTTTTTGGTTGTATATATTAATTACAAATCAAAAGAGGTAATTCTCTCTCTACATAAATCACTTGTTAGACCTCGCATAAAATAGTGTTTATAGTTTTGGTCTCCTTGTTCTAAGAAATTGTATTGACTCATTAGATAGGGCTAGTTTGAAAGAGGGCTACAAAAGTGATGCCAGAAAAAGAAGGGTTATTTTATATGGGTTGGTTAAGAATTGGAAAGACAAGGTTTTGGTTAAAAGAGTTTTATTTTTTCTAACAGGGTTTTTGACTTATAAAATGAGTTGCTCTTAATAATAGATAAGACACACTTTACAGGGGTTAAACAATATTGATCATTACTGTTAAAAATTCATTTTGTGGACTGACTCTTATGTTGTAAAAAAAGAAACATTAATTAATTTTATTGAATTTTCCCAAAGTTTCTTGTTCTAATTTGAATAACGTGAGAGTGTTTTATCCCAATAACTCTGTCATGAACTTACTACCTTCCATTGGAAGAATAATTACTTTTGTTAATTCACATTCAAGGTCATTGTCTGATTTAAATTTCATGTGTTATTTACCAGATCTCCAAGATATTAATGGGCTTCATCTAATTGTCAGCATGTCAAAATGGGTATTTGACATCTGTTGAAACCTCTTATATGAGTTATCATCCTCTACCTAAACTATGTTTTTAACGTATGTAGTTCATACATTCAGTTTTTTACTGTACTTAGTTTGACAAACTGTATATCTTGTAATGGAAAGAAATGCATAAGTTGTACAGATTTTATTTTCTTCTGTTAGATTCCTGATGAAATAGAAAAGCTTTTAGAGGTATGCTAATTTTTATGTGTTCTTTTTCTTATACAAAAATATTTATATACATACACATATACAGATAAATATATCCAAACTTTAGATTGATAATCTAAGGCTTTCAGGATGTTCAGTTTCACTCATTGTGGAAGCAGCTGAGTAACTGACTAAATTAATAACTTGTTATACTACTTTTTATTCAAATCTTTATGTGGTTTTCTTGGTTAACACTGAATAGCTGCACTGTGGACCTACATTGCCTGAAAAATAATAAGGCAATATAGAAATTTCTCAAGAGAAACTTGTTCTTCAGTAATGTGTTTTATTTTGTTCAGATGTTAGTCATTTTAGCTAAAAGTACATATTGACAGATAACAAGGAGCATAAAGTATTTCAATAAAAAATAGTAAAAGTCATTATAAGGCTGATTATTTTCAACATCTCTTCAGAAATAGAATTTCATTAATATAATTTCAAGTACAATTATAGGAGTATGCTACTGATGAGGTCCTTTCCTCAATAGCAGAGCTTATTATACTTAGTACCAAATATGGTTTACTACTAACAAGTTTTACTTAATTATTGTACTTCTTCCTACAAATGACAGCACAGTAGTTTCTTCAACTTGCTTGTTTGTTTATAATGTCTTTAGTACTTGTACATAAGAATGTATTAAATTGGGCCTACATGGAATTAAATTAGCTCAACAAGATGGTTGTTAATCTAATATTTTCAGTATTGATACACTGTTACAGTGAGTATGACATTCATCCCTGTAAACCTGGTACATACTAAATATTCAAACTTCAGGTCTTAATGGGTGTATGAACTACCACAATAATTGTTAATAACTTTTGATGAAAAACAAATAACTTTATACATCAGGACTAAACAATGATTTAGTTTAGCATTTGCAGGCCAAAAAGAACTATTTTTATTATCACTATTCTCTGATATAGATAATAACACCACATTTTTTCCTCAGTTGACTATAGGTAATAATGTTCCATACCAAGATTTGCAGTACTCACACACTACCAAAAAATTACTCATAAGGCTGAAAGATTGTGTTACCAGGTAAATTAAGCATATGTTTTTTTATTAATAAAAGTGATTAACTAGGATATGTTTGCACATTTAATGAATAGGTAATATGAATTGATTTGTAGATTGAATTTGCCTTAACCTGAATTCAATTCCTGAAATGTAATTAATGAATAACTAATACATTTTTGTTTATCAATTACATAATTAACTTGGAATATTGAACTAGATGATAGAGGAACTTCTTTCTTATGTTTAATTGCAAATTCAAGTCGTGATTTGAATATCTAAAGTTAATTTATTTATAATAAAAGTGAATTATACTTAATGATTTATTTGTATAAGCAAGATAATGGCTTACCCCAGATACTGTATCAGTTTATAGTATAGGTATCAGCAACCTAATCTTAGATAAAAAATAACCATGTGGATGTCTTTCAGTTCTATGTAAATGATCTAATGCACTTGTATCCAGGAAAGAACTGGAAAATTTGACTCCTCAAACTGAGCTGATGGTTGATGCTGTACCAAGTGGAAAAGTGAAAGGTGTTATTATTACTCTTCGTGGTTTCCCTGAAAATGGCTGTTCTAGTCAAGATGGAAAGACCTATGACTTTGTATCTCGTTATTTTGCACCTTGGAATGGAATTGATGAGGACCCAGTAACTGGTTAGTTAATAAAATTTCAGTTTAAGTTAGATTTCTGCCACTTGCGTTACTATTAGTAAAATTTCATTTAATAAGATCTGTATTAGGAAAAATAATTATTTAGTAGTTTATGTATATAGTAAAACTTATAAACAAGTAAAAATACACTGTTAAAGAATTTAACAATTTAATTCATAACTCTTAATATTTAGTTTCAAAAAAGATGTTACAATTTATAATTCAAATAGATCTTTTTTATTTGATTTCAAAATAACACTATCAAATATGTAATAATTTATATTGGACTTTGTTCATAATCATTCCTTCAAAAGTACAGTATTAGAGCATATGAAGTTGTTTTCTGTCAACCTTCAATGCTTTAAAGTGTACCATTCTCTTGTTTTATACTTATGTTGTTGCATTCATTAGGTTCAGCTCACACTGTACTAGGTCCCTACTGGTCTAAAGAACTTAATAAGACACCTTTATATGGTAAGTTGAACTAATCTTTGCACCTCTTTTTATAACTTTTGTGAATTTTAACTGCAGTTTTTTGCAGTTCTTGCAAATTGTATGTGTATATAATGTTACTAAAGTATACATGTGCATTGCATGTATTAGCTAGCTATACAATGTGCAGTTTATGTTTAAATTACTTGCATACACGAGACAAATTAATATACATAAGAGTGACTTTAGATAAGTGAAAATATGAGGGGAGAAAAATATTTGTTGTTTTCAGGTTACAGCAAGTACTTGCAAAGCAACTTTACCTGCTTTAAGCATGTAGCTGTGACCTGTACAGTTCAAAATATGGTTACCTTGTATATTTCATCCATTAACATTGAAAAGGATTTATTTTTAAGTGTCACTTCACAGAAGGATTTATATGTTCATTAAATCTAGTATTTAGAACAAGGAAAGAAAACACTTTTCAAAAGAGGAAGTAATGTAGGGATGGTATTTGCTATTACGTTATTAGCTGGTAATTCCTGTTTCACCCTGTACTTAAGCTTTTTAAAGGAACACCAAATATCTGTAAAAAAGCTAGCTTCAAGGGTAATGATAACATAATTTACCCTAGAATTATGTTGTTGCTTTTAAATTACCACTAATTATCAATAATACTTATAAAGGCAGATACTCCATTTGAAACTATGTAAACTCAGTGAAATTGGTTGACACAATTGTTTTGGTTTTAGAGTTAGCATGTATTAACCCGATGACTACCAGCTACTAACTTTCTTAGTAGGCAATGCAAGTCTTGCTATATTTCATTCCAACAATAAAACTAGTGGACGAATATTTTCGAAAATTCATAAATACTTTGACAAATGTAGGTAGTTTAAGAAACATAAAGCCTATTACTTTTAATGAATTTAGTTTTTTTGCATTATGATCTTTAATATCTTGGAAACTTACATTAGGAAATCGTATTTATAAGAAATGATTACAATATTTATATTTGCTACAGATTTGCATTAAAAGTAATAAGTTGGATTTCAAAATAATGTACTAAAACCCAAAATTGTATCCTCCATAAAATGCAAATTTTATCTATTTTTAATTTTTTTAATAATCACGTATACTTCTTATGGTTTCAAGTAATATACAGACCCGTAAATAATATTTGTAAATAAACCTAAACAATAAATGAGTATTTTTATTTTTAACTAGGATTTCATGTTTATATATGTACATAAAAAATTTTAATTTTGTTTCATAAATATATTTTTATTTCAAATTTATGTTTCACTGCAGCTGTACTTTTGTGTTTATTGTGCCGAATAAACCGTGGCAGCAGCGTGAACTTTGTACGTTGTCCGTAAACTATCTCACCCTTTTTGGTGGTCACTCTCGTTCAACCGAGCGCAAGCGCATTTGAACGTTACTGTAGATATGATAGTAAGAAAGCTTTTCGGTACTTGAATATCATTTCTTTGAACTTTCAAACAAGTTTATTTCAACATATGTCCGTGTATGTTGTTTCAGAGTACAGACAAAACTAATTGCCACTACTAACAAATGTATGTAACAGTTTATAGTACAGGTGGTTTCAATAAACACCGCCTGAGCCTGACCCCTTGTTACTTGATACATCCTGTTAAAAGAGATTACCAAACGATACATACACCA